TCCAGGGAATCAGTTTCCTCCTTCCACCATGTGGGACCTAGGTATCAAATTCATCAGACTTGGCCATCTTGCCTCCTCAGATTTTTGGAACTTTAAAGGTAAATGCCTGCTTGAGTGTTAAATTTATGTTTTATGTTGTGGGCAGCCTAGGTAAGTATAAGGAAGGAAATCTTCATGGTATCTAAGTAATCCTTTAGCTAATCCTGTTTATATACCCCCTATGACAGTTGACAGTTCGTGAAGCTATTAATCAAGGTATGGATGAAGAACTAGAAAGAGATGAGAAGGTATTTCTGCTTGGGGAAGAAGTTGCCCAGTATGATGGTGCATACAAGGTAACTGGAATTGGTAACTTGATATAACATCAAAAAGTACCCATTTGCCCTGACAAACACTTGAAAGTCATGGGGTTAAATCTTAATTGTAGGTTAGCAGAGGCCTATGGAAGAAATATGGTGACAAGAGGATTATAGATACTCCCATATCAGAGGTAAGCCTTCCAGATCAGCTTTGAAGAGCTAGTTGAGTATTCCGTTTTAATTTCTGTGGCTGTTTTCTTAGGCTGCTATTTGCTTTACAGATGGGCTTTGCTGGAATCGCTGTTGGTGCAGCTATGGTATGTAATATTATGAAGTTTATCTAAGGAGATTCCCTTTAATATTATCTTCTGAAACTGTTGTTTGAATTGGGCGTGGGGGCACTCACCTTTAACCTAACCCCAGAACTTAGGAAACAGGCAGGTGGGTCTCTGAGTTCAAGGACAGCCTGGTCTACAGAGTGAGTTCCAGGACAGCCTGGACTACACAGAGAAACCCTGTTTTGAAAAACCCACAAAAAGAAAGAAAATATTGTTTGCATATTGGAAGAGTGGAATGGTTATTTAGCACTCATCCGTGTTCTGTTTAGTCTTTTAACATTGATGTTTTCTACTTGACAGGCTGGGTTGCGGCCCATCTGTGAATTTATGACCTTCAACTTCTCTATGCAAGCCATTGACCAGGTTATAAACTCAGCTGCCAAGACTTACTACATGTCTGCTGGCCTTCAGCCTGTGCCCATAGTATTCAGGGGGCCCAATGGTGCCTCAGCAGGTGTAGCTGCTCAGCACTCACAATGCTTTGCTGCATGGTATGGGCACTGCCCTGGTTTAAAAGTGGTCAGCCCCTGGAATTCCGAGGATGCAAAAGGACTTATTAAATCAGCCATTCGTGATGATAATCCAGGTCAGCATAGTAACATTAAAAACTGACATGAACTCTGCATTATGGTTCAAGGCATCTATTTTGGCATAGGCATAGCATATGTAAAGTGCTAATGACAGAAAGACAGTAAAAACTGTGCTTTTCCTCCTCATTGTAAGGTGCTAGTTATTTACTGCATACCTGCACCATTGGCTTAACCTCAGCAGATAGAATAATATTGACCAAACTGCAGGTGTCAGCAAGTAAACCATCCTGAAGTTTCTAGACTGATAGAGGCGAGGCTTGTTAGTATTTAGAAGATGAATGATTTTATTGTATATGTATTCTTAGTCATTTTGTCTGTTTGAGAACTTACTGTATCTTGCAGTGGTGATGCTAGAGAATGAACTGATGTATGGAGTTGCGTTTGAACTTCCTGCAGAAGCTCAATCAAAAGATTTTCTGATTCCTATTGGAAAAGCCAAAATCGAGAGGCAAGGTAAGAACACCTACTAGTGGGCTGGAGAGATGGCTCAGCAGTTAAGAGCACTGGATGTTTTTCCAGAGGTCCTGAGTTCAATTCCCAGCAACCACATGGTGGCTCACAACCATCTCTAATGCGATCTGGCGCCCTCTTCTGGCATGCAGGTAGAACATTGTATACATAATAAATAAATCTTCACACACAAAAAAAAAGAACACCTACTAATGTATACTAAGTATGCATTAATCATTGTTTTTACTGTAGCCCTTGTGTTTGCATAGGTCAGAAGATGCTGCCATGTAGTTTTGACTTACAAAGTAAAGGATGAATGAGTTCAAGTTAGGCTTTTCTGAATTTCTGTCTGGTACATTTGTATTCTGTGTCCAAGAATACAACCTCATTGCTTAGCTCACTGAAATAAAGTGAAGGTCTGATAAGACATGAGCTATAGCTGGCTGTAGACTCACCAGTGCTGCATTAGCTCCATTGACCTCTAATCTGTGACCACTTTATTTCAGGGACCCACATCACTGTAGTTGCCCATTCAAGACCAGTGGGCCACTGCCTAGAAGCTGCAGCTGTATTGTCTAAGGAGGGAATTGAATGTGAAGTAAGTGGACATTCCCCCCCACCCCCTTCTTTAAATCAGAATCTCCTTTTAAGACTCAAGGCTGGTGGGGGCTGGAGAGATGGCTCAAGGGTTAAGAGCATTGACTGATCTCCCAGAAGTCCTGAGTTCAATTCCCAGCAACCACATGGTGACTCACAACCATCTGTAATGAGATTTGTTGTCCTCTTCTAACATTATACATAATAAATAAATCTTAAAAAAAAAAAAAAAGACTCAAGGCTGCTGAGTTGGCTTAGCAGGTTAAGTTGCTGAAATCTAACTAGTTGAAAATCTAATCCCCAGGAGACACACACACACACACAAAACCAAACAACTTTTAAGTACCTTCTCAAGTTAAGATCCAGTCTTGCTGGTCTTGGGAGGGAGCTGTGCAAGCATGAGGACCTGAGTTTGGATTCCTAGCACTCACATGGAAACAAAAACCAAAAAAGCCAGGTGTGGTAGCATTTATCCCAGCCCTGGGGAGACAGTACTAGGAGGGGGATCCCTGGTGTCTGCTAGCTTGGCCATCCAGTCTAACCAATTAGTTAGCTCCAGATTCAGTGAGAGACCATTTTTAAAAAAATAAGGTGAACAATTCAGCAAGAAACCTGAGGTCATTCTCTAACTCCTCACGTGTGTGCACATACAATCACACACGCACAAGATCCAGCCTTAGAGCTGGACTTCAGAAGTAACTAAATCTAATCTCCTGTGTAGAACCTACCAAGTAGTTCTCCTTGGAAAGTATTACTTACTGTGTCTCATAAGCTATAAAATGAGGATAATAGAAATTTCTGCTCCATAGGGTATCATGGTGTAGGGCCTCACCTATTTATTTGGTAAGAGAGATGATGAAACCAAGGAGGGTAAGTGAATCCTATAGGTGAACAAAGCTTTCTCTGATGGGAATACAGGTTTCTGCTTTAACTGTAAGATCTTTTACTTTCTGTTTAAGACAAGGTCTCCCTGTGAAGCCCACACTATCCTCAAACATGTGGTCCTCCTGCCTCAGCCTCCCAAGTGTTGGGATTACAGGTTTGCACTACTGTACTGGTTTTCCTTTTAGTCTCTACGTTTGTATACCTATTGGTAGGCAGGCTCAATTTTCCTAGACCCAGAGATTAACAAAAACAAAAAAGAAGTGATGTTTTGGGGTCGAGGCTGTATTTGTCTCTTGGTTTCTATAAAGTTTATTTACTGCATTGCCTTTAGGTGATAAATTTGCGTACTATCAGACCAATGGACATTGAAGCCATAGAAGCCAGTGTCATGAAGACAAATCACCTTGTAACTGTGGAAGGAGGCTGGCCACAATTTGGAGTGGGAGCTGAGATTTGTGCCAGAATCATGGAAGGTATTTCAAAGAAACTGGTTCTAGGATACAATCAAACTGTAGTGACCAGTGTGCTTGAATACTGACTGAAAAGAGATCAAGAGCTAGGGGTGACCAAATGACTTTTCAACTTGTCAGTCTAGGGTTTTTGTCCTTTGGGTAAATGTTTTAAGAAGTCAAGTCAAAAGCAGTGCCCTAATAACGAGGGTTCATTACCTTGTTTTTCCGAGTCCCACATCAGCCTCTCAGGTGAGCCTTCTCTTCCCCAGGCCCTGCATTCAATTTCCTTGATGCTCCTGCTGTTCGAGTCACTGGTGCTGATGTCCCTATGCCTTATGCAAAGATCCTGGAAGACAACTCTATACCTCAGGTCAAAGACATCATATTCGCAGTAAAGAAGACACTGAATGTCTAATTTGGACTTTTAGTATCAAGTCATTGAAATTTATTTAAAATACTTGTTGGGACTTCATCTGATGTGTACTGAGAAACTTTACTAATCATAAAGTTAATTCTACAGCAGCAGCAGGTGTCTCTGTACTGGTAAGAAGTTTAAACATACTTATGAGTGGAAAACTCCACTCCCCACTCTAGATGCTATACTTTCTTTGTCTGTTACTGTTAATCTAGTCTTTGAATAAGATTTATAAATATTTATCCTCTTTAACTATAAGGGGCAAGAATGTTGCAGAGTCCTGATGAAAGATATTCCCCCCAGAAGATAACTTATATGTTTAAAAAGTATATTATCTGCATTTGCTGTTAAATTGTTTTGAAACGGAATAAAGGGGATTCCTACCTATGAGTAAATTGTATTTTCCTCCCCCCCCCCCACAGAGTTTTTCTCTCTCTAACAGTTCTGGCTGTCTGGGTTCTCACTTTGTAGACCAGCCTGACCTCAAACTCAGAGATCTGCCTGCCTCTGCCTCCCAAGTGCTGGGATTAAAGGCAAGCGCCACCACTGCCTGGCAAGTAGTTGTATTTTTGTATTAGTGAAATAATGTATTTGTAAGTCTTAGAGTACTATTAAGAAATTAGTGTCAGCCGGGCGTTGGTGGCGCACGCCTTTAATCCTAGCACTCGGGAGGCAGAGCCTGGCGGATCTCTGTGAGTTCGAGGCCAGCCTGGGCTACCAAGTGAGCTCCAGGAAAGGCGCAAAGCTACACAGAGAAACCCTGTCTCGAAAAACCAAAAAAAAAAAAAGAAATTAGTGTCAAATGCAAAAGGATTTCACTGTATCCCTGGCTGGCCCAGAACTATCTGTAGACCAGGATCTCATAGAGAGCCACCTGCCTCTGCCTCCCAAGAGCTGACATTTAAAGGTATGTGCCACCGTATCTGGCCCTAATTGAAGTTTTTGGGTTTTTGTTTTTTTTTTAATTTCCAGGATCCAGGATCACAGGTATGTTAGCCAAGTGCTCTACTACATCCCCAGACCCGATTTGCTTTTATTTATATATCTTAAGCTTTACCCAAAATTGTGAAAACTAAGAGCAGAAGCACTCAGCTCCAGGTTTCCATCAGACTGGTCACTAGTCCACACAGCACTGTCCAAAGCCAAACAGCCTTTTTTTTTTTTTTTTTTTTTGAGGCAGACTCATTATTTAATAGAGGATGATGACCTTGAGATTTTGACCCACCTACCTCTCTACCTTCCAAGTGCTATAGACACATACCACCATGCTTAGTTGATAAAATGCTGGTAATGATTAATGATCCAGGGCTTCCTGAGTGCTATACAAGCACTTTGCCAACTGAGTTATATCCCAAGCGCAGTATATTGACTCTTCATAACAAATTTTAATAAAATTTTTTTGAAATTTCTTTTTGAAAATGAAAAAGATTCATGTTGGGTACTCTTCCACAGTGCCAAAACCAGATATTGTCATATATGAGCCTCTTTAGAACTTGATGGAAAGGATTGTTTTCAACAAGTTCTGGAAGCGTACAGATGGTCTCTACATAGTAAGGGCTATTAGCAGTTATGAAGGGATAAGGAGACAGGAAATGAATACACTTGTGACACTACAATTTCTTCACAAAATATGCTGTAAGAAGTTCTCAGATGAAATACCTAGCAAAGCCACAACATATTTTCTTGTCATGATTTATTTTAATAAAAATACAGCTGAGTATATCATAGATTACATGAAACTATACACAATGACATTCTTTCTGCATAGTAACCAACACTGATATGTGTATTTAAATTTTAAAATGGATTTTTTTATAATCCTTTAAAGTGCAATTTATTTAAAGGTTTAAGCAAATCACAGAATGAAAGATTTCTAATAACTGAGTAACATCAGAAAAGATGCTGAAGTTGGATTAATCAAATCAGAAGTGATTGCCATCGATGCCAGATTCACTTGTAATGCTGACTTTCCCCCTACCCTAACCTGGACCTAAATGCTGAGGACTAAGACAACCCTTTAACCTGCAAGAGCTTTTTCTGTGGTTAATGTTTTTCTTTCTGTTTTGGTACATTCTAACTGAAAACTATAAATCCAGAGTGGCTGCTCTCAGCCAGTGAGATTCCCATTGAACTTGAGACAGAGGAATTCCCCCTGTCCTGCGAAAGGGAGAATGAAGAGAGCTCTTGCTTCTCTACCTCAGCCTTGGTTAATGTTAGCATCTGAGGTGAACTACCTAAGAAATGGCCAGAAAATGCGTCAGAGGAATGAGCTATGAGAATGCTTCTGATAGAGTAGGAGGGACAGTAAGGCCAGTCACTGCTGTGATGGAATATTGTCATTGCTTTTGCTTTTTTGTCATTTACCTTTAGCTGGTGCAAATAATATGCTGCTGCCCCTAAAGGAAGCCCATTAGAGTCACAGAAGAGTAAAATGTTAAGGCAGCAATGCTGGCCCCACTTTATTCTACTTGGAGAGCATTTCCCTCTTGCAAGACTGGCTGCACTGGCTCTGCAAGGACTCACCTAGGAAGAGGAAGTTGGGGGGGAGTGGGACAGAAGAGCTTGCCCAGTGTCAACAGGAAACATCAGCCAATCTTAGGAGCACTGTGATCACAGGTTTTGGCTTTCCTTAAAGTTCCCTTTTGGAAATTCTGGATAGAGTTGAGCAAGGCCCCACGGTTCACACCATTCACAGCCTGGGGCAGGAGTGGGACAGGTATCTCTGTGCCTGAGGTTGTTGAGTGACCTGCTGGTGGAGGCGGAGGTGGTGGAGGAGGTGGAGGTAATGCAGAAGACAGCCCTGTAGAGGAAAAAGAAGGTCAGTGTTCCACCTTTCCACTTTGAGCCAGGGCAGAGTGGACTCTGGGGAGACTGAATGTTCTCAGAGGGGCTAAAACCCAGTATTCAGGGTGTTTTCAAACTAATTTAAAAAAGAAAAGAAAGCTTGAAGCAAAGGGGGGATTTAAAGGTTGCATTTCTTTCAAATGACAGTCATGTGAGAAGAGAATTGAATTGAGTATCAGGGATTATGTGAAACCACACAGTAACATCTCTCCCTAGAGTGGCTCAGACTCCACTCCCAGCAGATCGGCTCTACCTACTGAGTACACAGGGTAAGACAGATCTGCATACAGAGTTGGGCCAAAGGGATGAACAATCCCTAGCTGCTTCCTCACACAATATTTGAAGGCTGTGGTTGGCTAGGCTAGGCCAGCAAGCCCCAAGGATCCTCCTATCACTATCTCCTCAGCCTTGCAGTTTTACAAGCATGTGCTCTGCTCCTTGCTATTTATTTATTTATTTTGGGTGCCAGGAATCCAAACTCTGGTCCTCATGCTTGCATAGCAAGCATTCTGACATGATCTCACAGCGCCACAAAACTGCATCTTCACTTGAAAAGCGTGTACTGTTGTAAAACATCCAAAGCCTTAAGTGATAGAAAGCCTTAAGGTTAAGGGTTAAGTATACAGAAAGTGAGCCATTATTTGGCTTTAAGTAGAGACAGAACTTGATGACAAAAGCAGGAGTGACATCTGTTGGCCTGTTAGAGAATAAGCCACTACGGATTCTCAAATAGGAGCTAGTGCCAGCTGGTTACTGGCATTTTGAATCTGGTTTGAATGATTTCCTGTTGGGCTGAATTAAAGAAACATAAAATGCTAGTACTTGTCAGCAGGCTTTTAGAGAAAGGGCTCTCTCCCTGGCAATGGCATTTTCAAGAGGAAGTCTGACCCAAGAACAAAGTGAGCCCGTGTGTGTGTGTGTGTGTGTGTGTGTGTGTGTGTGTGTGTGTGTGTGTGTGTGCGCGCACAAGCATAAGGGATCCTGGACAAAGAGCAGGAACCTGGGTACCTAAAGGTAAACATCCTTCAGGTGAATTTTTTTTAAATGTTTATTTATTGTGTATGTGCACCTACACAAGCATGCTACAGTGCATGTGTGGAACTCAGAGGACAACTTGTGGCAGTCAGTTCTCTCTTCCCACCATCTGAGTCCTAGAGACTACTCAGGCTGTTAAGGCTTGGGGGCCTGCACTTTTACCTGCTGAGCCAGCTAGCCAGTCCTTAAATTTCTTTCTTTTTTTTCTTTTTTTCCTTCTCAAAATCACTAGGTAAACTGTTCTTTTTTTTTTTTCTTCTGGAGCTGAGGACTGAACCCAGGGCCTAGCAAGCGCTCTACCACTGAGCTAAATCCCCAACCCCAAACTGTTCTTTCTAATGTGAAACATTACTGCCATAATAGGCTTTAATGTGTGGCAGTTATGGGCACTGGTTTTCTAAGGCCCGGCTTATCTGTTGTTACCACACTGCTATGAGCTGCAAGAATAACAGGCAAGATACCTCGTCCACTAAATATGGATGAAGGAGGAATGACTCAAGGTCACCAATAAAATACTCAAGTAAGTACCTCCTTTCCACTAAGTGGGACAAGCAATGGCCAAAGTCTTGCAATTCACAAAAACCACTTACCTTCCTTTATACCCTTACCCCAACCTAAGGCAGCTGAAATTAAAAACAAAATCACACAAATGCACATTCTCATGCTCTGCAATCATGGAATTCTCAAATAATGATACCATAGCAATACAAATAAAGATTAAATACAGACAAATGAACAAAATGTAATTTGCATTCCTTCTGCTCAACAATGAATAAAATTCAATTCAGTTGTATATAGGATAGATTGTGGAAGACATTCCTGGCTCTCCATCATAGGGTTATAGACCTTGAAGTGACTACTGAGGTGAGAAGCCCAGGTGGGATGAGGGTAGAAGTATTCCACTTACAGCATTTGAGTAATGACAGTGAAATGCTGGAGTTAGGGAGGGTTCTCTTGAAGCTCTGGGAACTGTGTCTCTTGCCTGACAGCATGTAGTACCAAGGCTGCCAGAGGAGGAAGCTCTCTGCCCATGTGGGAATGAATGGCTATCAATAACTCATACACTAGGCACTATCTTAGTGGCCAGAGAAGTGCAGCAGAAGTATTAGACCGGACCAGGAGCTGTAGGTTTCCCCCTCCCAGCTTTGTGCTCAGACCCCTGGCTGAAGAATCACTGCAGGGTTAAAGCTCAGAAGACAGGTTTGGGCTACAACAGCATTGGTGACCCTATTGCATACCTGAAACTGGCCATCCTGAGATGGCTACCTTACAGTCTAGGGTTTAGGAAGGCTAGAGAGAGGCCTAGGGGCTTGAATTCATGAGTATGGTTGGTGGCCTTGGCATACAACAGCCTGGCTTCAGAGAACCAACCCTTGACTCTGGACTCACAATCTCACAATGTACTACCAGAGTTTGGGAGTTAGGGATGGTTTCAGTAAATGGATCTTTATTTTCTAAGTGAAGGCTGAAACTATCACGTAACAAAATCCTCAAGAGGTTGATCGTATTAATATGCCATCTAAAGTATTATGCCTGTATAGTAAACAGAAGAATGAGCATTCTGATGTCTGCTCACAGGGAGCTGGGCTAGCCTGTGCCCATATAACAACCAGAAGAGGGGGCTGTGTGAGAAGTGGTTTTGCTCATTTCAGTGGGGAAAAGTAAACACCCTGATGCCCACTCACAGGGATCTCTACCAACCAATCTCAAGGGGCCTGATGTTCCATGAATTACAGAAGACAAGGAAGGCTAGAACTCAATCTCTAGGGAATACTGCAAGTTGAGGAGAGGCCCTTAGAACTAGAAGGGCAAAACTGGAAGAGGCAGGAACACTACTAGGAGCTCAGTCTCTCTCTGAGGACAAACTCCACCCATTCATTGTCTTTGGCCATTTTAACAGTCTGTTAGCTTCTTTTAAAGGTTAGTGAGTATAAGACAGGACCATTAGCAAAAATGTCAAGATAGGAAAGGAAGGGGCAAAGAACAAACACATGCTCATGATTTGCCCTGAGAAAAACCCCAAAACAACTGCCTGATGCATGCACTCTCCCTGTACCTACACTCTATAAAGAAGTCCCTTTTATTAAAAGGCCTCTAGTAGCTTTATCCCCAAGGCCACAGACAAGAGGAAAGAGCAGACAAACTCAATGTTGTGGGCTGGTGGTCATATGAGGTCCCAACTAGGATGGGGCATGCTCCTAAAAGTGCATCTACAATGACAGCCAGGTCAGTCCTGAGTTTTCCTAGCTCATGTTCTCTTAGACAAAAATCTCAATACTAGCTGTTCTAACTTTCCCAGAAGCCTCTCTACTAGACCCAGTAGGAATGTGGCAATCAGCCATGTGCCAAAAAGAGGATGCACTCTAGGTATGCAAAGAAAAATTATGTATTTTAGATCTTCGGAGGGTTGCTGTGCTAGGAACATCGCTAACACTTTCTTGGAAAGGACATTTGAAGTCCAAGTTTAATAGTTTCTCCAGGTTTCTGTAGGTCTGGATGGGTAAGCCACTAGACCATACCAGACACAGAGGAGACAGCAGTCACACAGCAGTCCTCAGCTTTTTGGGCCACCTTTGCCTTGGCCTTAGACAGATGAGGAGACTCATAGCTTACTCAAGAATCCCCAAATGTATGTTAGAACTATTTATTTGTCATCAATTATAAAAACCAAGAAGTTGTGCCAACAACTTGTCTTCATCAGTAACTAGGAACCAACATTTTGTAGCACGGTTTTGAAAGTAAGTTTTCAAAATTAAATGCACTCAGATACCATTGAGATGCAATTAGAGCTCATATTTCCAAACTAAAATGGAGTGAAAATGTAGATTTTTAGAAGGTCATGATGGAAATGAAATGAATATGGATGAAGTGACTTGGGGGGCCTTTTAAAGATGCTGTGTTTCACTGAAATGTTCCAACAAGGGAGTAGTTTCTGTTCTGCTTCCCATGTTCACCAGTGACACAAACTCATTGGGTCCAATCTCACACATAGAAACACAGCATCTTCAAAGCTGGAAAAGTCAGCATAGCTTACTTTACCGAAAATTCACGTTCAAAGTGGTGCATGCTCTACCGAAGACAGCAGAGAGAGGGGAGAGGGGGAGGGAAGGAGAGAGAGACAGACATAATTATTCAGAGTTTAGTGTTATTTAAGCAAATACTAACAGTAAAATGTTAGTCTGAATTGCATGTTTAATATTCTCACTGCAAAACTAGGGTGCACTTAACTACAAAATGCCATGGTTTACAAACTCAAACATGAACCTTTCAGGATACAGCAAATGAACAAGTCACTTTCTTTGTCACACTTTTCTAAGCCAGTTAAATGCTATTTTTATTTATTTACAAACGTCATAGGAACTTCAGAAGAGCACAGAGCTTTTCACTCTCCAAGTGCAGCAAGAGATGTCCACTTCTGTGTCAAACACACAGATTGCAAGCCCAGCGCCATTTTGAGATTTTTGACAGCAGTTAACTCTGCAGCTCACACATGATTGAGCCTGTATGATAATGAGTATTCAGAGACAGGTAATGCCTGGGGGCACTCACCAACCTAAGACAGAGTGCCTGTGTGGCCTGGACAGGCATCTCTATGACAGGTAAGGTGACCTGCTGACATCCCACCCAACCTAAGTCAGAAGCTCATTTTTTAGTAAAAGGGGGACCTGTAGGGCCCTGGCCCCCGTTTTGGGTAACTGTTGTCTTGCTTGCTGACCTTGATCTTGATATCCTCCCTATGCTAATTCCCTGCCAGGTTCCACCCTCCTGAATGCTTAAGGAAAGATCCTTGTCTGTGTATCCTGCATAATGGGCTTTAGCAGCTTAGATGCAAGATTGTAAAACATCAGTAGCAAACTTCTGCCCTCTAGGGTTCTCCCACTGTGCTGTAAGCCTGTATTTAAGACCTCCTCCCTCTTTCAA